GGGATGGGATGGCACATGGGGGGTCACCCAGGGACACTGGGGGTCACCGGGCTGGGATGGCACACGGGGAGTCACCTAGGAACAAGGGGAGTCACCATGGCAGGGATGGCACATGGAGGGTCAGCGGGGCTGGGATGGCACTCAGGGGGTCACCCAGGGACACCGGGGCAGGGACAGGGGGGATTTGGGTGGGGGGGAGGGAGGGCAGAGGGGGGGGAGGGTGGGAAGGGGGTGAGGGATGTGGAGAAGGGTTTGGAGAGCGGGAGAAGGGGGTGGAGGACGTGGATCTGGAGAACATGGGGAAGGGGTTGGAGAACGTGGGAAGGGGTTGGAGAACAAGGAGGAGGGGTTGGAAAGCAGGAGAAGGGTTTGGAGAACACGGAGAAAGGGCTGGAGAACATGAGGAAGGGGCTGGAGAACAGGGATCTGGAGAACACGGGATCCCAGAGGGGGAATGCCAGGACTCACCTGCCTGGTGGAAGCCCTCGGACAACCCCCCACAGCCGGAGAACACGTCCAGGGTCCGTAACTTGGGAAGTTTGAGCTCGGCCTGTTCCTCACTCTGCTCGGAGCTCACCGGCTTCCCTTTGCCTTTCCCTGGAAAAGCCACACCCAGGGCCAAGTCATTCCCTCCTGCTCCTCCTCCTCCATCAATCCAGCGCCTCCCGCCCCCTTTCCCACCCGGAATTCGGAAGGGAAGCCCCTCACTGTCCCCTTTTCCACCCAGCAGCCTGGAAGAGCATTCCCAAGGATCTGATGGACGCAGGGATAATTCCCAGGGCTCTCCCTGGGTTGGGAATGGGATCCAAAGCCCAAGGTTAGGGAGCAGAGGGTTGGGGGGTGAAACCCCTCAAGGATGAGTTGATTTCCAAAGGATGAAACGCCCTAAAAAGGCCGTTCCAGGATTTCTGTCGGGAACACCGGGATGGGGGTGGGATCACTCACCTTTCCCCTTCCCCTTCCCCTTCCCTTTGTTCCCAGAGCTCCGGGCGTGGTTGGGAGGATCCTCAAAGCTCTTGGTTTTGGCGTTGTAAGCCTGGGAAAAGGAAAAAACCAAGGATTTGGGATGGACATGGGGGACAGGGAGGAGGGGCTGGAGAACACCAGGACATTCCCAGCTCAGGAATAACGGTGGGATTGCCAAAAAAAAAACCACCCTCAGAGCTGCAAAAACAAAGGCCAGAATCACGGAGTGGTTCCAGGATTCCATGAAATTGGACCTCCAGGGACACATCCAGACCCCCCAGGGACACATCCAGACCCCAGGGACACACCCAGACCCCCTGACTTAGTGTCCAACTCATCCCCCAGGCTGTCAGACCCAGCCACAAACCCACAGAAACCCCCCCCTTGGAGAAGCTCCACTGAACCCCTGGTGGCCTCCAGCCCCTTCCAAAGCCCCTGGAAGGTCCCTTCCCTCACCTCCAGGAAGTAGAAGCGGTCCAGGCCCCCCGAGGAATAGTCCTGGATGCTCTGGGTCAGGTCCTCCCCGTAGACCACGGAGCAGCGTCCCTGCACCGCCCGGAACTCCACCGTGGCCTCCTCGTCGCTCCAGTAGAGCAGGTTGATGTCGGCGTGGTAACTGGCCTTCATGGACTTGTGCGTGTTCTCGGGCCTGCAGGGAGCCAGAATTCCCAGAGGAACACCCCTTGGATTAGGGGGAGTCGTCCCGTCGGCGTCGGCTCCGCGCGGGTTTTCCCGGAGGTTCCCGAAGGGTTCCAAAGGGTGACACCAAAAAGGGGGTTTTTGGGGGCTGGGAGGGAATCAGGGGTGGAGTTGGGGAGGGGGTTTAAAGACAAAGAGGGGCCAAGGGGATCTGGAGGGATCCCAACACATCCCAAAAAAACACACCCTGGATAAGGGGAACGTTCCCACTTTTGGGAACCGACCCCGACCCTCCAACGACTCAGAGCTTTCCCAGCCCCCCAAAATCCCCGGGAATGCCCCCCAGGGGCACCTGTAGAACTTGTAGATGGTGAGTTTGATGTCGGCCTCGTTGGGTTTGCCGTTGCTGCGGATGTTGCAGAAGATGCCCTTGATCCTGCCCACCCGGTACGGGTCGGGCGCGTCCAGGTTGCTGCCCTTGATGTACTCCGAGTACTTCCGGTAGTGCTCGGGGTGCAGCTCCTCGTCCACCGCCTCCTTCTTGGGCCTCTTGGCTGGGCTGGCCGGCTTCACGCTGGGAAACAGGGAAAAAGGGGAGGGAAGTGGCCAAAAAACCCCCTCGGGGACGCGGCGTCGGGCTGAGGGTTGGACTCGATGGGCTCTGCCAACCTTAACTCTTTGGGTTTATAGGAGCACCCTCATTTTTATAGGAACACCTTTGTTTTTATAAGAACACCTTCATGTTTATAAGAAGACCTTAATCTTTACAGGAACATCTTTGTTTCTACAGGAACACTTTCATCTTTACAGGTACACCTCCATTTTTATAGGAACACCTCCATCTTTATAGGAACACCTCCATTTTTATAGGAACACCTCCATTTTTATAGGAACACCTTCATCTTTACAGGCACACCTCCACTTTTATAGGAACTCCTCCATTTTTGCAGGAACTCCTTAACTTTTAACCCAAACTTTGGGAATTTCGGGTCTCGGCCGCCCCGTTTACAGCTCGGAGCCACCGCCCAAAAACCCCACGTTCTGCTCCCAAAATCCCACCCCCCAAAAAAAACCCCTCCTGAGACAGGAGCCCCCGCACCAACCTGAAGGAGAAGGCGTCGGGCAGGAGGTAGACGCCGTCCCCGACGCGGTACTGGACGCCGTTCTTGGTGGCCACGGCGTAGAACATCTTCCCGTCCGCCTCCTCCAGGGGCTCGGCCACCTTGGGGATCTCCTTGTGCCTCACCTCGTCCAGGCGCGCGCAGCTCATGCAGAACCTGCGGGGAAGGGGAGTCCCGGAGGTTCCAGGGGGTGGGAGGGAAGGTCCCGGAATTCCCCGCGCCCGGAATTCCCTCACTTGTACTTGTTGTCCTCGCTGGGCTGGCTGGTGGGCGGCGTCTCGAAGCGGGCGTACTCCTGGTCGTACCACATCTGGTAGAAGTAGGTCCTGCCGTCGTCCTCCACCATCTTGATCTCCATGTCCAGCCCGCCCTGCTGGCAAGGAGGGATCACCGGGATCGGCTGCGCTTCCCGCGGGACCGGGATATCGGGATGGGCCCCCCCCCCGGGACTGTCACCCACCTCCATGGACCAGCTCTCCGAGGGCGCCTTGTAGATGACGGTGACCTTGCCGTGGATGTAGGAGAGTTGCATGTCCTCGCACTCGTCCACCAGGAACAGCTCCAGCGGGTCCGACGTGGCCCCCAGGACCGTGTCGGAGCCGGGGCAGAACCAGTGGGCGTGGAACATCTGCCCACTGCTGTCCTCCCACATGGCTGTCACCCTGCAGGGCAGTGTTCCCACCGGGAATGGGGCCATCAGGGCAGCGTTCCCACGGGCAATGGGGCCGTCAGGGCAGTGTTCCCACCAGGAATGGGGCCGTCAGGGCCATGTTCCCACCAGGAATGGGGCCGTCAGGGCAATATTCCCACAGGGAATGGGGCCGTCAGGGCAGTGTTCCCACAGGGAATGGGGCCGTCAGGGCAGTGTTCCCACCAGGAATGGGGCCGTCAGGGCAGTGTTCCCACCAGGAATGGGGCCGTCAGGGCAGTGTTCCCACCGGGAATGGGGCCGTCAGGGCAGTGTTCCCACCGGGAATGGGGCCGTCAGGGCAGTGTTCCCACCGGGAATGGGGCCGTCAGGGCAATGTTCCCACCAGGAATGGGGCCATCAGGGGAGTGTTCCCACAGGGAATGGGGCCGTCAGGGCAGTGTTCCCACAGGGAATGGGGCCGTCAGGGCAGTGTTCCCACAGGGAATGGGGCCGTCAGGGCAGTGTTCCCACCGGGAATGGGGCCGTCAGGGCGGTGTTCCCACGGGGAATGGCACCCCCGGGGGCAGTGGGGACACCCACCTGGCCAGGTAGAGGGGCTTGGTGGGGTCGTCGGGGCTCACGGACACGCAGTCTCCCACCTCCAGGGTCTCGTTGTCGATGCAAACCCGTTGGTAATAATCCTTCTTACCGTCGCTCTGCGGGGCCAGGGGGTGGTTACACCCACCCAGGGGGGCGGTTACACCCACCCAGGGGGGCAGGGGGTGGTTACACCCACCCAGGGGGGCAGGGGGTGGTTACACCCACCCAGGGACACGGCCACCCGAGAAGGAGGGGAGGAGGGTCCTGCCCAGCCTTGCCTGGAGGGGTTCTCCCACCTGGATGGGCTCCCCCACTCATGGGATCAAACTCTGGTGTCACCTGGATGGGCTCCCCCACCTGGATGGGTCTCCCTCACCTGGATGGGTTCCCCCACCTGGACGAGTTCCCCCACTCTGGTCTCACCTGGTTGGGTTCCCCCACCCCCAGGACCCCACTCTGGCCTCACCTTGATGGGTTCCCCCACCCACGAGATCCGACTCTTGTTCTGCTTCTTCTTCCTGCCCTGGAGCATCTTCTTGGGCGACGGCATCTCAGGGATGTTGTCGTCCACCTCCTCGTCCTCGTCCGCCTCCCGCACGGCCAGGTTGGGACACCTGGGCACGGGGGTGTCACCAGGGGGTGTCACCACGGGGGTGTCACCACGGGGGTGTCACCAGGGACAAGGATCTGGGGTGGGACCCTCACCTCCTCTGCAGACAGGCCTGTTTGCTCCTCCCGCTGCCCCCGAACTTCACCATGTTCTGGCAGGCCTTGCACTTGCCACACTCGGGCTGTTGGCACACCTGGAGCGGGACAGGGGACGGGTGACACCGGGAACACCCCCCGGGACCAGGGTGGCCTCTGGAACGGCCCCACGGAGCGACCGGGACGGGAGGGGGAGGTCGGTTGGTCAAGGTCAGAATTGACCTTCGAGATCCACCACCACACCCCAGGACGGGATAATTTGTTTGGTCAAAGTTGGAATTGACCTTCAAAACCAACCACAGTCCAACCCAGGACAGGAGGCTGATGTTGATCGAGGTTGGAAAAGCCCTCCAAGGCCATCCAGCCCAACCCACCACCACCACCGAGTCCCCAGGGAGGTGACCTCCACGTGGGACGGGGGGGACGGCGCCGGTACCTCGCAGACGCCGCAGCGCCGGCGCTTCGTGGAGTTCTCCTTGTCCTCCTCCCGCTCGTCCTTCTCGATCTGCTCCGAGAAGAAGGTGTCGAAGATGTGGTACACCAGCTTGGTGGTCGTGGCCTTGGTGGGCCCCTTGTCCTTGTCGATGCGGGTGGGGTGCCGGATGGCCTGGCGCCGCACGGCTCGCCTGGGACACGGGCACGGCGCTCAGGGCGATCCGGGGGACCGGGAACGGCCCCCAGGGGGTGCCCGGGTGGGCGCTGGGGCACCTTCAGGGTCCCCAAGGGCAGCACCAAGGGCAAGGCCAGGTTTTGGGGACCCAACCCGGTGACCTTCCGCCCTCGGAGCAGCACCAGGCACGGGGGCTTCCCGGTTTCGAGAGGGTTTTCCCGATTTTGGGAGGGCTCCCCCAATTTTAGGAATGTTTTCCCAGTTTTAGGAAACCCCCAACTCAACCCCCAACCCAACCCCCAACCCAACCCCCAATTCAACCCTCAACTCAACCCTCAACTTAACCCTCAACCCAACCCTCAATCCCAACCCAACCCCCAACCCAACCCAAACCCTTCTCCCGACCTCCCTCCCCACGAAACCCCGACGAGCCCCCGACCCCCGTGCCCCACACCCCCGTGTCCCCGGCCCACCTCTTGCCCAGGGTGACCCCGGCCAGCTTGATGAGGTCCCTCATGCAGGGGGTGATGAGCACGGGGGGCTCGTCGCTGTCCCCGGCCTCGTCGTAGCTCTCCACCTGCTCCACCACGAACTGGGCGTGGCGCAGCAGCGAGTCCTCCGTGAACCGGTTGAAGTTGAGCCCCGCGGGGGGCACGGTGGTCTGTGGGGTCGGGGGAAGGGTCAGGAAGGGCTGGTGGACCCCTCCCACCTCCCCCAGTCACCCATTCCCAGGATCAGCGAGTTGGGAAAGGTCTCCGAGGTCGGCGGGTCCCAACCGTGACCTTCTGGGACACCTCCAGGGGTGGTGACTCCACCGCCTCCCCGGGCAGCTTATCCCAGTGTTTAACAGCCCTTCCCACGGAAAAATTCCTCCTGGTGTCCAACCTGACCCTCCCCTTGGGGCGCAGCTTGGAATCACGGGATTGGTGAGGGTGGAAAAGCCCCTTTTCCATCTCCAACCCCTTTTCCATATTCTCCTCCTGCTCTCCAGCCCCTTCTCCATGTTCTGCAGCCCTTTTTCCATGTTCTCCAGCCCCTCTCCCATGTTCTCCAACTCCTTCCTTGTCTCTGTTCCTGCCTCTGGACACACTCGAGCCCCTCAACGTCTGGCCCTGGGGACACCCCTGGGGACATCCCCAGGGACTGACCCCAACACTGGCCCTGGGGACCCCCCTGGGGACACTGACCTCAACACTGACCCCAACACTGACCCCAACACTGACCCCACCAGTGGCCCCACGACCCCGCTGGTGACCCCACCTCGATCTTGTTGAGCAGGTCCTCGTAGCTGACGTCGGGGTTGTTCTGCAGGAACTCCACCACGATCTTGCTCATGTAGATCTTCTCCTGCATGAGGGCGAAGGTGGGCGCGTACTCCTCGCTCGGCTCCATCAGGATGTAATCCGCGAAGGCTGCAAGGGAAAACGGGGAATTCCGGGGGGAAAAAACGGGGAATTCGGTCAAAAAATCCACCGGGGGTTGGAGGGGGAGCTGCAGCTCAAGGTGGGTCTGGGCCACAAAGCCAAGGGTGGAGAGAAGGTCCCTCATGGGAGACCCCGATGGGACGGGGTGGGAACGAGGGGGAGGGAGAAACAGGAGGGAAAGGGAGAAAAGGGGGAGGAAAGAGGAGAAAGGGAGGAGAGAAAGAGGAGAAAAGAAGGAAAAAGAGGCCAAAAAATGGCCAAAAAGTAGCCCAAAGGGGAGGGAAAAATAGGTGGGAATAGGAGAAAAGGGGGAGGAAAGAGAGAGAAAAGAGGAGAAAGAGAGGAGAGAAAGAGGAGAAAAGAAGGAAAATAGGCAAAAAAAATAGGCAAAAAATGGCAAAAAAAGGCCAAAAAGTATCCCAAGACAGGCCAAAAACTAGGCCAAAAAATGGCCAAAAAAAGGTCAAAAAGTAACCCAAGACAGGTCAAAAACTAGGCCAAAAACTAGGCCAAAAAAGAGGTCAAAAAATGGTCAAAAAAAGGCCAAAAAAACCCCTAAACCCCCCAGAAAAGACCAAACACCCCCCCAGAAAGGCCCAGCGAGGCCTCACCTGTGCTGAAGCCGATCAGCGCCTTCTCCCCGCCGTCGAAGCCCGTGATCCACCAGGCGTTGATGGGCCCCAACTTCTTGGCTCTCACCCCTCCTGGAAGGCCAAGGAACCCCCAGTTCCACCTCCTGCGGGACCAGAACGCCCCGGGGGTGTCCCCAGTGACCCCCCCAGCCCCGTCCCTCACCGTCCAGGCAGGGGTTGTCATCGTAGATGGGCTTGACGGCGCCGCTGAAGTAGAGCTCGACATTCCTCTCGATGAGCCCCGTGTCGAAGGGGCACAGGTGGCCCTTGCGGTCGTAGACGCTGCCGGTGACAAACAGAGCAAGGGGGGTCTTTAGGGGCTGAAATCCCGCCCTGAGCAGAGGCCTCGCAGACCCCAACCACTCTGAGGAACTCGCTGCGTTTGGGTGGCAATGAGACACAGAAAACGTGTGCTGTGAGATGAATTAAGGGAGAGAAGGTCTCAGGCTCCCAGAGGCCTGTTTGTCCTTGGTGTGCTCTGTCCTGATGAAACGCAGCAAAAAGGTTATAAATTGGACAGGATGGACATTTGGGGGGGTGAAGGGCTGAGTAAAGGGGTTTTTAGTGAGACTTGGGCAGGTAGTCAGGAAAAGCTGAAAAGTTCACGAAGAGGAGGGACAAGAAAACGACCCCCACGAGGCCGAAGGGAACGGAACGACCCCCAGGGATTCACCCAAAAGGATGACTCTGCCTCCAGCTCCACCTGTGTGAATATTGTAACTAGATGATGTTATTGTAGCAAATATTCACGTAAAATATCGCAATCCCTCACCAAAACTGTGTAAATTACCTGACTTCTCACTGAGGACTCGGGAGCTGGTTTGCCCAGCGCCAGCTGGGGGGTTGCACCCCAGCATCGCCCCAAACAAACACCTTTGCTGCTCAAAGGCTTCAAAACTGTCCCTGAGCAGCCCCTTTACGCTGCTTTTGGCATCACCAGGGCAGGAGCTCACCTGAAGGAGGTGACCCTGTGCTGGGCAGGAGCTCACCTGAAGGAGGTGACCCTGTGCTGGGCAGGAGCTCACCTGAAGGAGGTGACCCTGTCCTGGGGCACAGCTCACCTGAAGGAGGTGACCTTGTGCTGGGGCAGGAGCTCACCTGAAGGAGGTGACCTTGTGCTGGGGAAGGTCCTCGTAGCTCTCGAACCCGTCCTCGTTGGCGTCGAACAGCGACAGCCGCTCGTCCGTCAGCATCTCCGGCTCCTCCAGCTGCAGGGGGGGAAAAAAAA